AGCACACAGAAACCCACTGCTACCCTCCCCTCAAAGGGGCACACACAGATGTGCCAGCAGCAGGGCTAAGGCGGCTCCCTGCTGCTCTGCCTCCTGCCCTCTACACCGCGCTGCTCCCGGAAGCAGCGGCCCTATGGCCCCGGGGGGGGGGGGAGGGCGTGTGTGTGTGTGTGCTGCCCCTGCCCCAAGCGCTGACTCCACAGCTCCCATTGCCCAGGAACTGCAGCCAATGGGAGCTGCAGGGGCGGCGCCTGAGGGCAGCTGTGCACGGAGAGCCCCTGCTCCCGCCCCACACCAATGACAGCTGCCAAAGGAGTGTGTGCGCCAGTCGCTTTGGGAGCCGCGCCGCCCCCCTCCAACACCCTAGTCCCCCGCCCCATCCCAGAGCTCGTACCCAAACTTTCTCCCAGAGTCTGATCCCTCAACCCTCCCACACCCAAAGCCCCAGCCCAGAGCCCACACCCAAACTCCCTCCCAAAGCCCGACCCCTGCACCCTAACCAAGGTACCTCATTTTATTTTCATTTACTTCCCATTACTTATAAGATAGGAGGAGGATGAAGGGGGAAAAAAAATGAAAAACGGGGAGGGGGAAATAAGAGAATGTTCTTTTTCTTGGCTGGGTTCCAAGGGGGCCCCCGAAAATGAAGCTGCGCACAGGGACCCACTAACTCTAAATCTGCCATTGGTGCTAAGCCCTTAGACTTCCACCCAGAATTTAAATTCACCCCATCCCAGAACTTTAGCTGTGTGGGTCTCCTGGGCCTACAGTGTAACACATAGAACACACAGATACTTTGCACAGGATTCTAACACCATTGCTTTTTATCTAATCACACGAGAAATACTCACCTCTATTCAAAAATAATAAACTGTATAATGCATTTCCCTGTCTGTCTCCTCACCACTCCAGAGCACTCTTTGGGCTGGGGTCGGAGTTGTCAGGGGCATCCAGAATCCTTCTGCTGCAATGTGTGGCTTGCATTCTGAAATATAGACCCTTCTCTCACCTAGGCTAATCCATCCCCTTCCTCTTGCCTGCGTGTCTTCACCCACTATGGTTTTTAAAGGCTGCCCTCAACACTTTAGCTTCTTCATCCTGTATTTTGGAATTTCCCACTCTCCAAATGCCAGACACACACCCCCCAACCCCCTTCCTTCCCCCCCAAAAAAGTGAGGGAAGTTGGAGAACTAGTTTCTCCTAGTATGCAGTAACTCCTTTGTTCTTCCCAGGTAAGACCTATTCAGATGCTGATAGTCCTTAACAATCTGCTCTTATTCTTGGTCTGGATACACAGACCTAGAGGCATTCCATGATACAGCAATTTTACATAGTAACAACTTCATAATATCAACCAGAATTCATAAGTGCTACAGACAGATTTCTAAACTGGTCACACAGGTGAATTTGACTTTGCTCATCTAGTGGAAAATTAGCCAGAGGCTAATGTTTGTAACATTGGCTTGTCTTATTAATAGAGAATGTGCAAAACAATGCTATCAGAATTATTTTGACATATCACAGTCAACTTGACAGCATGGGACACTCTTGAAAGCATGACAAGTAACACTTTCTTCAATCACTTTAGTGATTCTTTTTTCTAGGTTTGTAATACTGACTGGAAAATTTTGCTATTTTTCTTTAATTTCTAAAAACCCACAACTTTCCCCTGTAACAAGTCTTGTCTGCATGAAGAAATATTTAACAAATGTTTGTTCACCAGTTTTTAAAACTTCTTACCTGTAGTCACAAGGAGGGTCACAGGAGCCATAAGTATCTGAACAGCTGGCTACTTATTTGGATTAAACCTTTGATTATTCTAAAGCATTCTCATCCCATGTCACCCTAATTCTTCACATTTAGGCCATGTCTACACTACCACTTTCGTTGGCTAAACTTATGTCACTCGGGGGTGGGAAAAAACACCCTCCTGAGCAACATAAGTTTCACCAGCATAAGTGGTAGTGTGCATAGCGCTATGTTGGTGGGACAGCCTCTTCTGCTGACATAGCTGCTGCTGCTTGTTGTGGGTGGTCTAATTATGTCAACAGGAGAGCTCTCTCCCGTCGGCATAGAGAGGCGACACAAGAGATCTTACAGCAGCACGGTTGCATCGGTGGGTACAGCTGTGCCGCTGTAAGGTCTCTAGTGCAGACATAGTCCCTAAAGTATTTTAGCACTATTCTGGAAAGCAAAATCTGTGCAAATGTTTCTAGAAGTTTAGGCTTCTAAACCTTCTTGCCTCCATTTCACTGCTAAGTTCCAGCTTGAGTAAAAGACGGTTACTCACCGTTGTAACTGTTGTTCTTCGAGATGTGTTGCTCATATCCATTCCATTAGGTGTGTGCGCGCCGCGTGCACGATCGTCGGAAGATTTTTATCC